CCTTCCCCCCCTCCCCCAGCCCTGCCAGTGCCACTCACTCCCAAACTGCAGTACCCTGCCCCCCACACCTTACTGGTGCCCCTCTCTCCCGACCCACAGTCCCCTGGCACTGCCAGTGCCCTGCACACCCAACCCACAGTCACCCATTCCATCCTGTCCCCCGTGCCTCACATGCCCAATCCACAGCCCCCTGCACCCCTCCCAGCCCTGCCAGTGCCCCTCACTTCTGACCTGCAGTTCCTGCATAGTGCATGCACTGGCTTATGCACAGTGCCTGTCCCTGGTTGCCAGAGCCTGCATGGGGAGCACGTGACCCCTGGCAGCCAGTCACATTGTGTGCTGTTCCCAGCCCCAAGCATCCAGCCCAGGAGAGCAGAAAACCTAGGCATTTGCTCTTATTTTAAAAACTCACCTGGATGCAGCACAGGCATCCAAAAAAGAGGGCATGTCCAGGAAAACTTGGATGTATGGTAACCCTACACTCCTATTCTCCCAGGTCAGGTAGAGTAATCTCTACTGTGCTGAACTCCATTTTGCATACACACAAGTAGCATTCAAATGTACAGATATTCAAAAGATATACACTAATCTTTTTTTTGCCTTGTCTCCATTAGTATTTAATACTTGATGGCTAGCATGCATTAAAATGTTCTTCCCCTCTTGTCCTCCCTCTCCATCCAAGTCCATATATAGCTTTCTATTGTGACCAGCCCTCTTTAAAGGTATAGTGTAACATGGCCCTTTTTATGTTTTGCTGATGTGAAGCTGTTGATTTAAGCACATGTACATATTTACCCCCGTTAGGATTTAAGACGACAGACACCATGCCCAGACCATGGAAAAATATAAATTTGTTATAATTTTCCTTGTATATAATTATTGGAGGGTCATTTTATATTTTCAGAGGGTACCACTGAAGCAGGGGAAAAAAACTGGTGGAGGGTAGGCAGACTATCTCTCCCAGTCACTTGCTCTACCAGTACCTGGCCAAGTCAAGGCTGGAGCCACAGCAGCTCCCTGCCCCATACTGTGTGATCTCAGCCGTGCTCCCTGCCCCCCCCCCCCCATCCCTTGACCCCTCTGCATGCACTCCTCTGGCTCAGGGCTGTGCTGGACCCAGAGGCACAGCAGTCTCCTGCCATGGGCTATACTCAAATCTAAGACTAGTTTTCTCTTCTCCTGTCCCCAATCCCATGTTGAATGGGTGTGGGGGGATAACCACTTATTTTGGATTTCAGTTATTTTTTATAAATGTGTGTTATCAGTGTAAGCAGTTTTAATAGCTGCTAGAACAATTGCTAGGTGGATTACTGAGTGGTGGAAGGAGAGTAGTTTATGAAACAAAGGTTTATCTTGATTTGGGTGACTTAACTCTTTTAAATGAACTTCTGTATGATTGGGGAAGCTTTAAGATCTTCAGCCTGTGAAAAGTCTTGAAAAGTTGTCTATTGTTATAACTGATTGTTTAATAGAGAGCTTACTTACGTTGGCTGTCTAACCTTAAAGACTAAGGGAATGAATGAATGAATTCCTTTTTATTCAAAGTGATTCTGCCCATACCCCATATGCTATAGTAGCTACAACAAAGTAAAATAAGCCTGCTGTATGTGGGTGCAGAAATTCTTTGGTGTTCCATAGAATTCTAGCCTCTCAACTTTTTACATTCATCTAGATAATTCTCCAAACAAAAATAAAATCTCAACAACTCTGTAATCTGTTTCCATGATGTTTTGTAACTATACAGTGTTTTAACATGTATTTCAAAATGCTACTCCCTACTACAAAATATGGCATAGTTGTTTAGCTCTTTAATTCCCTATCCTTTCCTTCAGACCAAAGTTGTATTGCTTAAAGTTCAGCTGTAACTTCTTCTGTTGGTCCAAATTGTTCTCTTTTTAGTAGAAAAACGAGAAGAACTAAACCAAAAAACATAGATAGTGTTTGTAGAAGTATTATTAGTTACTTCCCATCTTGCTATTAGCCAGTGATGGTGTATCTGAAACTTTTGTTACAGTGATTATTTATGACTGTCTCCTTCCCTCTCTTGTGCTTGTCAGGGAAAATTCAAGTTTGGAAGAAATTGTTGAAAAGCAAGGAGATGTGATAGAATATCTTCAACGACACAATGCACTGCTCAGCAGGAGATTACTGGCATTAACCTCACAGCAGATCAGAGGTTAGAATGTTTGCAAACCTGCTGCTATACATCAAGAATCCAAAGCAATGTAATCCGATTTGGACAGAAGACTTCCATAATCCTTGGAAAGAGGAAAGGTTTTTGGACGAACGAATGGTCATGGTGCGCATCTTGTTATAACTGGAAAGATTGTCTGGACTTTATCAAATTGTTTGGTTTTGAGCAGACATTCTGTTTCTCAGACTCCTTTTAACTCCTGATGGGCTAAAGCTGGATGCAAGTTTAGTTTGTGTAACCTTATTCAGCAGTACTCTTATTTTGCATTGCCGTAACTTTTAAACTTCAAACTGCCAAAGCCTCTTGTACTTCCTGAACTCAAACATTTACTTTCCGAATTGAAAGATTGTAGGGTGTAAACTCTCCTTAGTTTGTTTCCTGATGGTAGCGGTTGAATCACTAAACACTTTGTCATTACAAATTGGTGTTCTACCTATTTGTTTAAGTTGTATAGGTCTTAAAACTCAGTATATGCACTTCTGCAGTTAGTCTGTTGGGGAAGTTGCAAAAATTTATGTTCTGGATCAGTGTCTTTTTGCTTCTTAAAGGGAAATTGAACTATAGTCGATAAGAGGGAATTTAATCAAATACCAAAAGCTGGTGTCTGATCAAAAACCTCTAACTGGCCCAAAGAAAAGCAGAATTTCACTTCAGTAAGTGTAATATATAACAACTAAATGCATCATGGCTAAAGTGACTGAGCAGCTGAACAGAACTTTAAGCATTTAAGGCATATAAAGATCTGACTTTTTTTTTGTGCTGACAAGTTTTCTGTAGCTTGAATTTTTACTAAATGGTTCCAAAAACTTCAAAAGTAGGAATTAGTTTTGTGTAATGATACGAACCAAGGTGAAATATAAATTAAGGGAGAGAGCTTTTGCGTTAATTATGTTAAATCCAACTCATGTGAATATTTAAAGCTGTTTTGTCTTAGGACAGTACAGTATTGAGTTTAAATCCTATAAAAGGTGCTGCGTTCTCAAATACAAAATTGATGACTTTTGACTACCTTTTGACTCAAACATGTGGGAGGCGTCATGCAACAAAAGGGAATAGAAAACTAATCGCACCATACTTTGGAATGACCGTTCCCTTCCTATGAGCACATGTTATATAGAAACTAGTCTGTTAGGCCTATGCCATCATCTCGGATGTCAGAGTATACAATACCACTCTCACATTCCTAGTTAATTTTTCTGTTTGCTTGTTTCCCAAGTCTTTCACTTCCAACATACTCTCTACCCATCTTGTCTGTAAGATCTTGTCTTTTAGGGGAGATGGATTAGTCTCCAAGTAAAAATGGGAAAAATCTTAGCAAATGTTGGGAGTGGTGGCCTCAGAGTTCTATACAGGAAAACCAAAAGAAAACCAAACACAGCCTATTTTGGTCCTAGAATACAATTTGGGATCTAGTTCCATAATTGTTCTCTGTGTTGCATAGTACTCTGACTTAAGGGACAAAACGAATGTTGGAAACTTGCTGCTAATACTACCAAGTGTGTTTTGGGTTTTTTCCTACTTTAGCTGTATTTTCTTAAATGCAGCCAGGATTTTATACTAAATGTTTGAGAAACAAATATCTTGTTTTTAGAACTCAGGTTTTGATGTGATTATTGTATAACCATTTATATAATTTGTATGAAAAGCAGTAAATGTGACTCTGGATATTTGTGCACAATAAATGCAACTAAGGAAAAATATAAAGCCTCTTCTGTTGATGGTATTTAATTAAAATGGAATCTCAAAAAGTATGAAGCAGTATAAAACAGCAAAACACATTTTCATTTAATCTGCAGTGTGAGATTACAGTATCAGTGTTCATAAAGGGATCTTTTCTTTGCAGATTTTGACCATGTTCCTTTTTACTTCTTGAACAAGACCTGGAATAAAGGTGATAATAAAGTTAGTTGCCAATGAATTGTGCGTGTTTTGCTTGCTTTTTTTAAAGACCTGGTGGCTATCCTGTCATGAGTAAGGTCTCCCTACTTTGTATTTCTCATGGTTTGCAAACAGCAAGCCATTGGTTGACTTGGAACAATCTTGCTGAAGCTAGTTGAAACTTCACTTATAGCAAAGCTTTTAACTGCCTGTGTAGCCTAACTATCCTATAGAGACTGATTCTCTGGTAGAGCTTTCAGAGGGGAAGAAGCTAATTTGGACATGGGCAACAGAATGCTACTTCTGCTAAAGCTTTGTGGGGAACTTTTAAATGATTTACTTCAGCTTTTGATTGCCTGACTTTTTTGCATCAGGAAAGGAATGTCAACATCTATAAGAGTTTGCAGAATTAGCAGATTGACATACCCCTAATTACATCAACCATGGGGGAAAAGAATAAAGACTTTTATAAGGTGTTCTAATCATTTATAGAAACTGATAGGGGAAAGATGTAAAAGGAAACAAAAAACTGAATTAGGCCTGCTCTCAGTCCTTGGGCTAAGTGAAAGCCTTTCTGCGTGAACTCTTTTTAATAAGTAGGGATGCCTGTAGACATGTGGGACATCTGTTCTGTGCAGTGTCAGAGCAGACTCAATTAATAGTCTCCTGGAGCATGCTAATTAGCATGCTTCAGCAGCCCTGGAGTACCCTGCAAAATGGTGGGGGTACTTTAACTAAAGCTCATCACACAGTGCCTGAGAGCCACTCTAATTCAAATAGCCCCCTCCCTCCCTGGAGCACGTGTAAAGATGCCCTAGATGACTGAAAATTAGTGGACAGAAATTGGGGAGCAGAGTGATGAGCCTCTAATGGGTTTTAGGGGAGACTTGGATGGGAAGGAATTAATTACCGAGGGTTTTTTTTGTTTGTTTGTTTGTTTTTTGAAGCAATCGGACTCAACTACTTCAGGAATCCTGTTCTATCCTTCACATTTGCGTTCGTTTCATTCCCCTGACATGCTGATGGCATACTATGGGGACCTCTTGATCATTGCCACCATACTGTTGGGGGAGTTTTGGCCTCTGCTGTCCCTCCTGTTTATTTTGTCCTTTAGTTATATTATGGAGAATTTTATACTTAGTAAGTTTCTTAGTGTAAGGTGTAGTCCAGGTTTATGTGATGGTGTCCTGGCTGAGAGTTTTGTAGAAACTCTGCACTCTTGAACCAAGTGATGTTAGTGACTCAATTGCATATGATTAAAAAATGCAGTAGAGCCAAGGTTTAGGCAGGAAAGTGAGTTAGCATATGCCTGAGTTGACTGAAGATGTGGTTGGTTAGCCTGTGAGAGAAGATCAGTTCAGATGACTGATGTATGATTGACAGGTGAATAATTGATCCAATTGGCCAGTGCATGTGGGGCTATTTCCCCCCATAAAAGGTGCTGACCAGACCTGGTTCATGTAGACCACCAAGGTGAGCCCCTACATGCAGGGGAAATTCCTGTAGTAAAAAAAATGGGGGAAAAACGTGGTGCAGAGCATACATCAGTAGCATGCGCCAGAACAAATGGAGGACTGGCTATCTAGAGCAATGTTCTGGCTGCTGGCCGGGCTCCATGCTACCAGATCTACACCCCCGCTGCACGGGATAGGACAATTTGCTGCATGCTGAACTGCATGTGCAGTGGTGTGCAATGAGGCACAAAGCAACAGTGCAAATTTGTGCCTATGCTATTTGTGCCTCTACAAGAGTCCACCCCAGCACATGGGGACCAATTCCCAGGGATGTGTGAACACAAGGGATTTTGAGAGCTGTGTGCTGTTTCTGCCTGTAGTGGAGCCGAGGTGAGCCTAGAAAAGCTGGAGAGTGACCGATGTTGGGACTGAAGCTGGGAATGAAAAAATTGAAAGATTGCAAGTGCTTGTATTGAGACCAGTGTGTTCTTCTCTTGCACTGAGGAGATAGAAGGCAGTGCATCTCACTCCCCAGGAGATGGCAGAGAGTGAAGGCTGGAGGACCTGGGAGGCCAATAGCTCCTTGTTCTATATATGTTGCTTAATTTTTATTATCTATTGTCATTGATAAATTGATGGTTGTTGTCATCCTTTGTTAATAAATACCCTTTTCCTTATGTGAATGTGTGGATATGAGTAATTGGGTTGGGTCCCCAAACAAAATAAATTATGACAAGGGTCTGATGGATGACCCACACCCCTGACTGCCCCAGTGATAAATTTTACTGTTGATTATAAATAGTTGCATAATTAGTTTTCCTGCTCCAACAATACCAATAAGGAGAGAGAACCCAAAATGTGAAACAATATTAGTTTGCCACCTTTTTGTATTATTTTCATTCCCTGGTACATTTTGCTTTTCCACTTTTCTGTTTGCACCCAAGACCATTGTGGCACCAACAAGAGGCTTGGACCGAGAGGCTGGTAAAAGAAGTTTAAGATTGTCACATTGATGATATCTCCTGATGAGGGATGTGAGCCTGAGTCCAGAGCAGCAGCAATCGTGGTAAACTTGCCAGCCCAAAACATCTTTCTGTGCCTGAGCAGCTGACTTGCTTCCTGAGATAAACACACAGCTTATTTTTTTTCTCCCTTCTTTGTTATCTTTGTGTTCTCCTTGTGTCATTTTGCTTTTGTCGAAGGTAAAACTAACCCGTTTTGCTCCTGACCAGGCCTATTAGAATTAAATCAACCAGTACTGTCTTAAAAAAAGGGACTTTAAGATGGTTCTGCAAAGCCTTTCTATTTCAATTTTCTTGCTTTGATTTTTGTGTATCTCTCTCTCTTCCAGCACTGGCATGAATTTTCTGTTGTTTATCTTGGCACTAAGGCAGCTGATGTCTTTGTAAGCAAAAAACAGAATTCAATTGTTTGTACAGTAACAGGGTTATGTTAACATTTTAATTTTCTGGGGACGCTTATCCCAGCAGTGTCCACTATTCATTCCCTGATCTCTTAAACAGCCTAAACTTAAAATTTTTGTTTCAGGTGTACATTTGGGTCTCCTAAACTGCCACTTGTTAATTCAAGAATTTGCCAGACAGTTGTAGGGGCAACTGAAATGTAGACGGAGGAGATTTTTTATTGAAGAAGAATTGGGGGAAGCCAAGCAAAGATGGGCAAAACTTGAAAACAGCAAAAATGCCTTGCCTACAAATGGGCATAAATCAGAAATCTGACTACAATAATATAGCATAAATGAAAAAAGCAGAATTGAGCATTTGGGAATATGGAATGTAGAGAAAACTAATCATCCAAAAACAACTTTATGGAATCATTTCAGCTCTTAAATTCCCACTACTTACATTTTGGAAGAAAATGCCAAGGTGAGAAAAGTACCCTTTTTGTTAAAACATACTGGTAACCATGGCATTCTATATCTGAAAGTAAATTTCTATAAAACAAAAACCAGCCACCTGAAGTGAAGGGTCTGCTATCTGCTGAGTGTGTTTTTAATCCATCTTCATGTATTTTTACAACCTATGCACTTTTAATCATTAAAAAAAGATGTGAAGAAGGCAGCTTGAAAATCAAATCCATCCTGTACTAGTGCTGCCATGGTCCCCTTGCTTTAACTGTGCCTGATCAGGGTGGTGTCTTACGTTGTCTCAGGGTTGATGGTAGTTATACTAAGAGGTTAGATTATGGATTGGTATAGGATGGTTTGGATCCTACCTCAGACAGGGGATTGGACTAGACCTCTGGAGGTCTCTTCTGGCCCTATTTCCCTATGATTCTATAATTCTGTTCTTAAATGGCTTCTTTCAAAATGTGAATAAGGAAAGCAACAAGGATGATGCTAGTAACCAATTAAATGACTGATGAGAAAAGGCATGTACACATCCCTTTCTGTCTCCCCATGGAAAATATCTGTTGAGCAGCCACAGTACTACTACTTATTTTTCTGGGGAAGGCTAGCTTAGAGTCTTCCTTTTAGTTTTGTACAGAACCAAGTGTTCATTACAGATGGAAAACAGCTTGCACAAAAATACAAGAACAATATTTGCACATTTGTCCTACTTGTCTTGCCAATTCTACACCATTTGGTCATATACTAATCTTTTCTATTCTTGCAGTCTTAAAAAAAAAAAAGTGTCCAGGATTGGCTTACCTCTGCTTGTCAGAAGATGAGCACAATGGGGTTGCAAATCCAGTTCAGTCTTTCTGATATCACCAAAATATTCTTGCAGTGTAAAGATACAACATTATCAAGCAAGACAGCATGGAAAATAGGAAAATACAAGCACATTTGGAAAAATGATGCTTAAATGATTTGAGAGCATCCCTGAAAATTGGAAGTTACCAGGAACTTATGTAAAGGTTAATATGAAATTATCTTTATATTTTATTGTGTTTAATTTTTTGCAAGAGTTTCCTTCATGTGAAGGAGATATTGAAGAACAACCTGTTGGGAATGTCATTCCTGGCATTGTTTCACCTGTAAGAAAATCTACTTACGTTATTCAATAACTGCAATGTTCTTCACAATAGTTCGATTTTTTTAATCAGAATGACTGATCTGAACATGCAGTTATACTAACTTATTCATATTTGGGCAAGTGCTCATGGTATCTACATAATTATTACCATAGCCCAGATGGGTAAGACCAGTGATAGCAGTTGCACATAGCATCATATAGCCTATCATTAGCCTCACAAAATAGTAGTAGTACTAATTCAACTGGGGAAGAGCTAATGTATTTTTGAAATCCCCATTTAATATTTTATAATCCAAATTTAAAATGGATTAAAGGCATAGGCTTATCCCTGCTGCACAGTTATGCTAGTGACAGTTAAAGTCAATGTATAATTTAAAATACATGCCATGCTGCATGTGTTTTAACCTGGGTTCTTGAAAATAGGCACCAAATTAAAAATGACCCAAGTGACTGCAATAATTAATGAAGGTCTATTGCTGTAAAAACTTACAAATCTCCAAGATCAAGGCTTTAATTTAAAGCTAAAAGTGTCTCTGTGCATCCTGGCTGCTGTGCATTGCATCTCCCCCGAAGGTTTCACTGGCTAA